TCACAAGGACAAAAAGATTAAAAGAATAATTCTGGGAACCAAATATTTAGGAAAATGGAAATAAAGATAGGCTAAGGCTAAAAACAAATGGTAGGGGGTGGGAAAGAGGTATAAATATAGTATAATATGAGAAGAGACCGGGGGAGACTTGAAATATGTCTTTGCACAACTTCCTTCAGAAAACAATATCTGACTAATAATATAGTGCCAGGATTCCCCTGGATGAGAGTTGGTAACCTCCCAGGAAGGTGTTTATTACACAGGTGTGGAGAGGTTAAAGGTGCCATTCCACCCGAGGGTTAGGGTGAATCTCCACATTTCAGAAAAGGGGTAGGGTATAAAAATAAGGATCAGTTGGGGATCTAAGTGGGAGGGGTAAAATGTATAAATATAAGGATTGTGTTGGGAGCCAAATGTGAGGGAAATTGGACTGGGTATATTACTGAGCATGGTAGGGCAATAAATAAAGTTAATGTTAGGCCTAGAATGTATAGAAGACTACACAGGGACCAAAAGAGTACTACAGGTATATTAAAGTAGAGCAAGCATAATCTAGATATGCTTTATTTTCTTATATTGTAAGAAGGTGAAGGTAGTTCCAACTAATATGTATTTATTTATTTATTGCTGGTGATACTAAACAGCTTACAAGAATGGTGGGAAAGCTTCAGGTGAGAGAGTAGAATTTTATTCAGAAAACAACAAGCATAAAAATGATACAAAATTATTTCTATAAATGTTAAAAATCTGAATGGCCCTGTTGAAAGAAGGAGTGTTTTGCAAGTAATGAAAAGGTAGACCCAGAATTGTGCTTTTGCAAGAAGCTCATTTGCAGACTGGACATGAAAAGTACTGAGAACAAAAATTTACCAGCCAGTGTCCCATGCCATATTCTTTGAATATTACTGAATTTTATATTTACATATATACATATTATATTGATGGTACAGATGATAAAATAATTGTTTTATGTTATTTCCTTTGGAAAGATGTAATCACTTCAGCATCAGCTAATTATTGTGTATTACTGCTGGACATGAAGCTTGTACAGACCTATTTAAATTTAAATAACTAAATTCTAATATCAGTGCTTTTTGTAGAAGAATGTAAACTCATGACTGGGACCACCTGAAATATATCAATACAATTAATCTCATTTCTGGCTTTGGTATCAAGTATACCTAATGCCCAACTACTCTAAATTGATTGTAAATAAGTTCCTCTTTCAAAGTGATTGCTTCTCCCTTGTTATCCCATTCCTCTCCCATCTAAGTGTCTGTGCCAGTTGGAAAATATTTTGGGATCTTCCCTGTTATAACAATCTATACAGTGCCTTACAATTCATGGTTTAAGGTGCTCAATTCAAGTAATCAAGCCCTACTGCAATTAATCAAGTAGTATACCTCCAGTTTAGGGTGTTGGGCTCAAGCAATCAAGCCATACTATAGTTAAGCAAATTATAAAGCTCTGGAGTGATCAAGGGTTTTCATGCATGTCAGTTTCACCCACAACAACCAGAGACGGATGCAAAAGGTTAACATTTACACCACAATTAAAGGACAATGACCCTCCACACTGTCAACTTTGTCTGGACCCTGATCTTCAACTCATCAAGAAAATATGTTTTGAAGAATGAATATAAGAGAAGAATGAAGCTGCCAGCAAGTGCACTCATCCCAGAAAAGAAACACCACGCTGCCCCATCATAACCTGCTCCCAGCTAACCACCCTCAGTGATGGATCAACGTCTGGTGAGAAGCTGCAAAGATCAGGACCACTTCCTTACCCATGTTGGTGAGAACCACTATTACAGCTAGAAATATACTGAACTTGATTATAGCTTATTTTATTTGTAGATTGAAATAGGAAAATGACAGGTAGGCTATATAATTCATTTTTAATTAATAAAGCATTTCTGTTAACTATTGATGGAAATGTCGTGTCAGTCTTCCTAAACACTAAGCATTCCATTTTAATTGCAACAATTACTCTAGAGCTGGAATTTGATTATAGAGTTGTCTAAATAAAACAAAGAGAAAAAGAAATAGGGAAGAGAGAATTTCATACTACTAATGGTTAGTGATCAAGATGGGGATACTTTTTTGCTGTTTCATCAAAATTTTAGATTTTCAGCAAGGGTCTTGTGCAGAACTTATTGGTAGGCTCAGGGTCTAAACTTGGGCATGTATACATGTGCACTTTAATGCATCTTAGCTTATTTTAATGTGAATTAAAGCATCACAAAAACCCCATGCTCTTTAGCTAATGCACAATAAAATGAGCTAATGTGCATTTTTCCAGTACCTCAGAATCGAGGTTGTCCCGGGAGGTAAAGTAATGAACAGAACTCACCTGCAGCTCAGGACAGGACATGCACGAGGCGGAGGGAGGAGCCCGTGTGGCTTCTTAGCTGCCTTTTTGTTCAATTGCGGTCAGCTGGTGATGTTACTGTCGGACGCCAGCCAGCAGCGATAAAAATGGCAGCTGCGGCCACGGAGGGGGCGGATAGCTCAGGTGAGGAGCAGCAGCCATTGTCGATGACAAGAGGAGCCTCTGCTACAAGACTCGCGGAGCCAGGAGAGCTGGCAGGGACGTGGACGGAGCGGGGCCAAACCTCCCAACTGGAGACTGCACCGGACAACGTGGGAACTGGAGGCACGGCACCTGAGGACGCAGCTGGAAGAGCACCCGGGAGTGAAGTGACCCACAGGTGGGGTGCCGGGACAACGGGGCACGGAGACAGTCTCACCAGGGAGGAGAGACCACGGGAGAGCCCTGAGGGGGTACAATTGGGGCGGGCATCGCTGCCAGGCACAGATAGAGTAACGGGCAGGAGGGAGGAACGCTGGAAGTGATCAGTCCGGGTTGGACCAGAAGAGAGCCGGGGAGGGCTCGGAGTAGACCGATTAGAGGATAGGGAGACACTGGGTGGTCAGCATTTTGGTTGTTTCGTTTGTTTAGGCAACGCTGGCTAAGGGTTCGAGAGCTAGGGGAGTGTGCCCACAGATTGAGGCTGAAGGGAAGCCTCTGTGAGTCTATAGTTTCCTTTGATTTTCCTTCCCTTGAAGAGAGGGGTGCAGGCAAGGAGGGCTGTGGGGCCGAGCCTGGTGGTGAGCGCCAGCACCACAGCTGGGAGCTGCGGTAACTTAGAGGCAGGCCAGGGGGCGTTGTCCCACAGCTGGGAACAAGAACAACAGGCGAGGGACGCACCGAAGGTGGTGTGAGGCCGGGGTGTAGGGGTGGTGGAGCCCCGTGAGTGACTGCCGGGGGATCCTGGACCATGGGGTATCCCGTCAACCAACTCCTCACACTGAGGAACATCAAGTCATGGCAGGCGAGAACGGGGTTGGGGACACGGAGAGAAGAGAGCTACTCCGGCACAGACAAGATCCCAATGGGTGTTTGACATCTACCTGCAAAGCAAAAACCGCTCGAGAGCAGTTAATCGAAGCCCGGCGGTCACAGAGATACTAGATTTAATGCACATTATCCAAAGTGCATTAATTGAATGTGTAGATGCACCCACAGAAACATTTCTAATTCTCACACAAGGAAGAGAGTGGGATAATAACAGAGGAGCTAAGGTGTCTTGCTCTGGATTCAGAGGTTTGACATCAGAGGTATTATGTATTTTGTCCCCTCAGTTAACCAAGCTTTAAATGGGTATTCAGTCATTACAGCTGGGGAGTGAAAGAGTGCTTATGAAATGTTATGGATCCAGTGGCAAAAGTCTGAACCTTGTTTTAGACTCCTACTGAAGTCTACTCCCACTCAACCCAGCTGCAGATAGCTGCCTGCTCCTCTGAGTAGGGATTCAAAGGCAGTTAGCCATGTTGTTGACTACATTTCTTCTTTCTGTGTGCTGCTGGCTACTGGAATTGGTGCGTTTAACCATGCTAACTCAGTGAGGGGCTAGACTTAGGCAGTTTTTTAACTGTTGCACAGACTGTATGTTAAACATGAAAATGTTATCAAACACAATAAAAATTCCTAAATACTTCAATGAAATTAAATATTTTATGATACTGATGCCTATAAAGCTGTGCACATGATTCTTTAGTCTTCTACTTAATAATATTAAATTTAGAGCAGTATTTTGATAGCAATGTAACTGGAAAGATGTCACTCTTTTTCTGCCTCCTGCATTTTTTGTATAGAACCATAGGAAAGTAGGGTTTGAAGGAACCACATGAGGTCATCTAGTTCAGCCCCTGCTCCAGGCAGGATCATCCCTAACTAAACCATTGCAGTCAAGTATCTGTCTAAAAAGTGTCTGCTTTTGTATAGGTAAGGTTCTTAGCTGCTAGCGGTGCATCTGGCACTTAATTTTTAATTCACATGTAGTATCTTTCTATGAGACACTGTGTTCCCTATATTTACATCCATTCTCTCATTTAAATAAACATATTCTAGGGTGAATAATCCATACAAATCCAATGTATATGGATTATTATATGGATATATATAAAATTGTATTGTTGAATTTTATTTTATATATAAGAATTGTATTACAATCCTTACTTTGGAAGGTTATTTATTATTTTCCTGCCTCTCAGATAAAACTTTCCTTCTTGTTTGTATTGAGTAGTCATGAACCATAAAACTACTGTCCCCTTCCTCCCAGAGTATTACAGACCTTAAAAGTTGCTGTGAAGTGCTGTTTAATTAGAGAGTCTTTCTTTCTTCTGTATATGACTACAAATTTTGGGACATATTTGAAGGATGATGACTCTTTATTTTTTCCCCATGTAAATTAAATCAAGTGCCCACATTGCAGGATGGCAATAAGTTGTTCATCAGGGACAATATACTTAAAAATCTGATAAGGCTTTCTTACTCTGTATTTGCTTAAAGTGAAATATGTGTGGGTTATACCTCATCCCTTCTCACTTTCCATGTCCAACTCCTTCCTCTGCATTAGTCCATGGGGCGGGCTATTTCTGCAGCTGCAATTTTGGCAACATCTTAGCTGCTTCAGTTTATAAGGAAAGGTCCCAGCAGTTAAAGCACAACTGGGATCACTCATTACTTAGCTCTTGGGCAGCTCAACAGTATGTTGTGGAGAACCAGGCAGTCCACTATAGTTTAAGCAAAGTTAGTATCTTGTGAACTGTAGTTGAAAAGAGCTTGCAGATCATTATTGCTTGCCAATTTTGTGGCAAATACTTTTTGTGCACCCAGTGTAGATCTTTACTTTGTGTGGGAGGAAGCAAAAGGATATAAAGGACACCTTCCTGTACTGTGGTGGGATTGAAAGCCTGTCTTCTTGGGAACACAATCACTACCATGAATTCTTCCAGAAGGTAAGTTGTACATACTACTTTCCTCTAAGCAGGCTGGTAAAGAGGGAGGGCAAACCACCTAACAGTGAAAGGATTCCTGTGATGATCTTAAAATTCTGCTGCTGGATATTGTTATTTGGTTGCAACTCTACAAGGTGCTAAACAGATCCTGTCCAAAGAACTACACATTAAATAATACATGCATTTCTTTAGAAGATGGCATTTACTACCCACAGTTTGTCTTTAATTTTTTTCCTCAAAGTTCCTTTCTGAGGTATGTGTGTATGTGTCTGTGTTACAGAGTGTTGCACTCAAGGGCTGTGCCTACATTGCCATTTTTCTTTAGAGCTCCTGTAGTTGCATGAGTGCTAATATAGGCAGAAACACCAACAGGTTATTTAATACTTCACAGAGCAGTTTTAGGCAACTTGGCATTTCCACTGCACTGAATTCAGATGGAGTTGTGAGTGCTGACCAGTTCTCAAAATCAGAACAATGGTCAGATAGTGCCTCTAAGGGTGGGCAAGTGCAGCATTAGCCCTGGGCACCAATTTAGAGTGGGCACCAGACTGTCATTCCTGGGGTGCCCATGCTATGGAACTGCTGCAGCTGGTGTGCAGCGAGCTTGTCCCCATACCTCTGCCCAAGGAACTGAAGGAGCTTGCTGCACTTCTACAAATGGTGTTCCCACTGTGATCTAAAAACTGAGACTCCAATAAATAGAAGGTGCTTATAAAAATGTGTTATTATTTTCCATGTGCTTTAGTTTCCTCCTTTATAAAAATGTGAGTAGAAATGCCTGCTTCACAAAGGGGCCATCCCACTCAGGACTAAATCATCTTTGTGTATCTGTGGTGCTTTCATAGCTGCATAAGCACAATTTTTGGCACTCGGTTTCTATCTGTGTCAGAAGAGGATCACCTAGGTATGCACTTAACTGCAGGAAGTAAAGATTGGAGGAGTGTCCTCCCATCCCTAACCCAGTAGCTTCATAGTTTCATAGTTTCTAGGGTCGGAAGGGACCTGAGCAGATCATCTAGTCTGACCCCCTGCCATGGCAGGAAGAGCACTGGGGTCAAATGACTCCAGTAAGGTGGTCATCCAACCTCCTCTTAAAAACCCCCAGGGTGGGAGCCTGCACCACCTCACTTGGAAGCTGGTTCCAGACTCTAGCCGCCCTGACCGTGAAGTAGCGCCTCCTGATGTCCAACTTAAACCTTCCCTCCGCCAGCTTGTGACCATTGTTCCTGGTCACTCCTTGCGGCGCTCGGGGGAACAGGGACTCCCCCAGCGCCTGCTGATCCCCCCTAACCAGTTTATAACAGGCCACAAGATCCCCCCTCAGCCTTCTCTTTTGAAGGCTGAACAGGTTCAGGTCCCGCAACCTTTCCTCATAGGACCTACCCTGCTGTCCCTTGATCATACGAGTGGCCCTCCTCTGGACCCTCTCGATGCTGTCCACATCCCTCTTAAAGTGCGGCGCCCAGAACTGGACGCAGTACTCCAGCTGCGGCCTGACCAGTGCCGCATAGAGGGGGAGGATCACCTCCTTGGACCTGCTCAAGATGCATCTGTGGATGCACGACAAGGTGCAGTTGGCCTTCCTAGCCGCCTCCCCACATTGCCGACTCATGTTCTTGTATCTCCTGCTGGTAGCAAAGTGCTCTCACCAGCAGGCCACAGGCCTGTAATTTCTCAGAGTACTCTCCAGCTCTTCTGAAGCTGGCTTACTAAGCAGCCAGTATGGTAAGAGATACAGGACTTGGAGGTGTGTAAGGTAATGGGAGGGTGGCTCTATGAGACAGATGCTGCCCTGAAAATAGGGGGCCCCAGGTTCTAGACCCTGGCTTCTCTGCATCTTTTAATGTTCATTAGGCAAAATATATCAACAACAGTGGGCTAGTTTCTGCTTCACTGGGGGTAGGGACAGAGCTACCTTCCTTCTAGGGCAGCATCTTACCCATGATGCACCTTTCGTCTAGCTTGCCTGCCTCCTTCCGGGCCCACATTTCTTTCAGTTTTGGCTTTGCAGCAGGCCAGCTTCAAGAAGTAGGCTGGAGAGTGCTTCAGGGAATGCCCACCTTGTGACCAAGTGCTTAGAGCACTTTGTTGGGAAGCAGGAGACTGATTCAAACCCTCTTTGGGTGCAGGGAATCTGGACCTGGATACCCCAGTTCCTGAGCAAGTCTCTGTTCACTAGGGTACTGAGCTAAAAGGTGTGAGGGGCCTTTTCCTTTCCAGTTGTCTCTTTTCTGTGACTGCAGGTTTGTGACCTACAGATGAGTTAAAAGTGTGACTGGGGGATTCTCTTTCACAAGAGAGCCTCCATGGTCAGAGAGCAGCTTTCTGAGCATACTCTGATGGGAAGCACAGGGCAAATATAAGTGTATTGCCAAGTGTACACAAAGGCCAGTGTTTACAAGTACTAACCTATGGCAGCGTTTATTAGTTTACTGCAACATAATAGGGCCGCTGGTGTAGACATGGAGACTTTACTGCAGAGCTAATTAAGCAGCTCCACAGTAAACATCTCCTGTAGATGTGCCCTATGTTTATAAAGCCTTGTGAAACCATATGGAAAAGGTATCACAAATACACAAAAGATCATTCTCAGTACAGTTGCTGTTGGACAGAGGCTTACAGCATGGTTATCAATCATGGCTAGTACCCTTGGTCAATGATTACATTCAGTGTCCTGGATACTAAAGTACTGTGTGTCCCTTCCCTGGTACAGCTGGAAATAGATTGTCAGAGGCAGTTTGGGAAGCTTAAATGGTGGTGCTGCTTCTTTTCAGTGAATAAAAGAGAATTTCAGTCTCCAGTCTTTTCAATTTGCCCCTATTCATGAACACTAAGAAACACAAGAGAATATTTCACACAACTGATTTTTATCAACAAGAAAATGAAGAATAACTTTTGCCAGAAGCACAGTACATCCTCTGACAAGCATGTACCCAGCCTCTCTTGTCTATCATTGTTGGAGATGTACCAAGTGGCTGGTAAGTGTTGCTTATTTCCAGTTATGGAGATCCTCCTACTAACCCTGTACAGCATGAGGTGTTCTTTGGCAAATCTAGTCAATGATTTAATATGCTCCACGGAGTTCACTATCATATCATAGGGCTCTTAACAAAAAAAGAGCCAGTTTTAATTGTATCTTGTTTTTTGTTTTGACAGAATACATTCTCTCCGTGCTCACAGGCCAAAAGCGCCTGCAAATATGAGTGAGAACTGGCACAGTTCCTGCAGATGCAAACAGGACCGCGGAGATGAATTATCTACTGTTCGTACACTTTACACTGTGATCATCATGGTCATCCTAATGGCGATATGGGGGGCCTGGGCAAGAAAAGATGCCTACTTATAGTTGCAAGTTACCTTTTGTGTCAGGAGTTCAGAATTCAGAGATACTTGTGACAATAAAAAATACCCAGGAAGATACAAAAGCCCAGGGCTTTGTGAATCACAGCTCATCTTGCATATAAAATGGAACCACTTCTGTCAGTGGATTTGGCTAAGTCAAATTCTGTGGATAAAATCTAGAACACCATTTCAGCAATGAAAGTAACATTTTTGTAACTTAACATTTGCAGCATAACATATATAATTCCTTTTAGATAAAGGAAACTATTTTAAATTCAGTACAGTGGTAAAAAGGTTAGATTCACATTTTTGCTGGACAATGTACATATATTTTTACATCCATTTTCCACTTTTGTATTCTAGATGTTCATTTGTTTGTGGCTTTATATTGCAGTGTACATTGTGACAGGCTGGAGTAGCCTACTTCCTCCCCTGCTAGCGGGGAGTTAACTGATTAGTGTAATCTCGACAGGACCGAAGACCAAACGAACACTTGATAATAAAACAGGAGTAATCTATAAAAAGAAACCCAGCTGGTTGATGAACAGAATACAGTAGTTCGTGATTGTAGCTTGAAGCCTGGATTTATGCCTATGTGAAAAGCTTTTTCTTTTATTAAAATCCTATGCAGGTTCAAGAATAAAGCTTTGTCTATTTGTGAAAGTGTTTTGTTGCTGAAAACCTAGCTCATTCTACCATTTCCCATCCTCCATAATATCATCTTTAACTACTGTCTACTCTACATCAACCCACTGCTTACCTTACCATATTTTCATAGCTTCATAGTTTCTAGGGTCAGAAGGGACCTGAGCAGATCATCTAGTCCGACCCCCTGCCATGGCAGGAAAGAGTACTGGGGTCAAACGACCCCAGCAAGGTGTACATCTAACCTCATCTTAAAAACCTCCAGGGTAGGAGCCTGCACCACTTCTCTTGGAAGTTGGTTCCAGACCCTAGCTGCCCTGACCGTGAAATAGCGCCTCCTGATGTCCAACCTAAACCTACCCTCCGCCAGCTTGTGAC